ACATTTTCTTACAAAATGATTTAATTACTTTTCCTAAAAACCAAATAATAAATTTAGTTACTGAGTAAGAACAATACATAAATATTGGATATATTACTATAACTACAAACTTTTTGATTTTGCCGACAAAGAATGAATAGTGACAATAATCATAGACAGGCAAATTAATAATCCGTGATTATGTCGAGAGAATCTCTTTTTATAATATGGGTTTTGATTTGGATTTTAATTACCGTAATATTTTTTTACTTTTATATCTTGGAATTTTCAACTGAGAATGTGGATCTTGATTCTTTGAGTTTAGACCCCCACGCACGCTTGCAATACTTAAATGTTCGAACGAGGTTTTAGACTTTTAGTAGCTTTTAAGGTAATTAACTTTTAAGAAAAAAATACTTAAGAGTAAAGAAAATTTTCATTAGGAAGTTCAATTTAAACTTTTATTCTAAACAAAAAACATTATAACCAATCGTTACTTCGACTTGTTTTTGACAATTTTTAGTTTTAAGTTTTTATGTTATACGCTATTTTATACCTTTTAAAAATTTATAACTACTTTTGTGGTTTACACAAATAAATTCCTTATTAATATCAAATATTCTTTAGATATTTGAACTTGTAATTTCCACTATTAATCCAATTCCATAACGTCTCCAATTAAGAAGTAATATAAAAATGACAAAATTGTAAAAATGGTCTATGGTATTTATTTTTTCTTAGGTTTAGTTCAAACATCGATTGTTTTGGATCGGTGGTCCCTTTAAACTAATTTACTTGTAGTTTTGGTCACTGTCCAAACTAAAAATACTATTATACCTTTAATGAATTTAATTTTTATTTTTCTTTCACTTTTTTAAATTATTATTATTATTATTAAATATAAAACTAGGCTCCTCTCTCTCTCTCTCTCTCTCTCTCTCTCTCTCTCTCTCTCTCTCTCTCTCTCTCTCTCTCTCCAAACCTAACTACTCACCTCTCCCTCATACCATATTTTTCCCCCGGTGCCATTTCCCCTTCTAAAGATATCTCCATTCATCAATAGATTCATCATGTAAGTCGGAGTCATCGTGAGGAGTTGTTCTATGCTATCGGTAGACATAGTGGGCGGAGCATCCATTTGCTACGTACACGATGAGTTGGTGGTGGGCCGAAGCAATTACTAAATTCAAGAATCGATTACCCTACACAGAAAATGATCGATGAGGCCCACATACCAGAGTGGCAGAGTCTGCCAACATGTAGACGGAGTCGGAAAAGTACTTTGAGAACAATGAGTGCTCCTGCATGGAGACGGTTGTATGCGAGGTAAGTTTGGACGGTTGTTTTTTGAACTTGATCCCACAAGTTTGATACTTGGAATTTGAGAATCCTTACGGGGATTTTAAGAAGTCGGTAAAGGAGACTTATGATTTGAAAGATTGGGATTGTTTAGAGAAGACAGTGGGTGTATGTGTGTGTGTTGTGTTCTTGGTTCACCGAAATCCCTACACCCTCTTCCTCACATAACCTATGGTGGTTGACGATTCGATGACAGAGAAACCATATCAGAACAATATCGGAGTTTTCATCTGCAGGTGGGGGCACCAAAATGAACGGGAAACTAGATTGGGAACATGGGAAACAACCACATCGGAGATGGCAACAGTAGAGGAGGCTGAAGAGGGTCAATGTTGTTTGAGTTAGGGTAGCGGGAGCATATGGAACCTTCGTGAGCATCATCATCATCATCGAACCCACCACAGAACGTCACCCTCCTACCTGTTTCTCCGCTGCCCTAGAAGTGAAACACCATTGCCACCCTATAGCTCCGTCGACCCACCATTAACCACCGCTGCTACCGTCTCAACACCACCTCCTTACACCGTCACCCTGTTCACCGTTATGGGTTTTGTGAGGGCTTTCAATTGTTGATTTCAGGATCTTCTACATGTATAAACGAGAAGAACACACACATACATACACTTGCAACTCGATTATGGATTGTTCATCATCGATCTACAGGTGTGTGTATATATGTGTGTTCCTATTATCCCATAATTACATTTCTTGGATGTCTTACTTAAGGTTATATATATATATATATATATATATATATATATATATATATATATTATATATATATATATATAGAGAGAGAGAGAGAGAGAGAGAGAGAGACTATGTTTATTATTAATAAAACTTTAAGTTATATAGAAATAATATAAAATTACAAACAAACTAGCTCAAAATGACTACGAAACCAAAAAAATCGAGGTTTAGACCAAACTTCAGAAAAAATGGATACCACAAAGACCATTTTTTACTGTTTTATCTATGAAAAATAATATCTATATGGTTTTAAATATTTTCAAAGTCATCTCATAAAAATATCTAACAATCATTTCACATGGATACATTGAACCTTTTTAAGAGATATAACTACTTGACTTTCATTGTTGATTCTTTTTTCTTTGTAAAGTAATATACCGTGATTCTTTTTTCTTTGTAAAATAATATAACTTATAGTTTGTTACATGTGACAAAATATTTGATACCTTTTATTAAATAATAAATAAATTACATTTATTTACATGTTTTGAAGCTTTGTAACATTATATAAATAAATTACATTTAATTACATTTAGTCCTCGTGGTTTGTAATTTTCTTAGTCACTAAGGTCCAAAATAGTTTCATATTGCAAAAATGAACCCTATTTGAGGGTTTGGTTGTGGATATGGTCCTAATTTTAACCGTCAAGATGAATGTGATCAGGTCCTAAATTACTTATCAAATAATAGTAATTTCAGAAAGACAGGTTTTGTCTCTGACATCTATAGGAGAACAATAAGCTTTGTTTAATTGTTTTCTTGGCTTAAGCATAAGGGCAGGTTCTATAGCCTAGATTGGATTACTTAGGGATTGAAATGGTTGAACCCTCTAGTTATTGGTGGCAAATCAATGGGCCAATTTAAAGTAATATGCAAATGGAGACTATGAAGTGGAATGGAATCTGCAACTCAATTTGACCTTGCTTGGACGATTTTACCCTTTGCCCCCTGCTTATTGAAAATGTTATGAGATCTTGACAATACTTATGTGTTGGAATTAATTGTGGAATGGATTTGGTTATTTTACTTCAAAATGGACATGCTTTGGACGAATTTACCCTCAAAAAAAGAAGCCCTGTTCTTGTGGTGGAAGATGTTCAGAGGATTTTTGGTAGCTTTTTCCGAGAAACAAGAATACTTGGTTGCTATTTTTTTGTCAAGTTCTCAAACTTTGTTGCCATTAAAGAAGAGCTACCCTAAAAAAATTATTTTGACAGAAATGGAATATAAAGATAAAATAGTCATTTAGTCTTATTAATTAACGTAACATATGTATACAAACATTTTATACATACATACATACATCATTATCCAATTAGCCACTTTATTCTTTGACATCATTACCTAAGTAACCTCCTTATGAGAAAAATAAAAAGAAACAGCCCCTAAGACACTTATGACTATAATTCTCTTGATCTGATTACTTATCAAATATTAGTTCTAGCAATTAGTAACATAATTATTAACACTTTACTACAAACCAATGAACAATACATGATTAGAATGGCGGAAATGTTTTTTAAGCACGAAAAGATTTTAGAAAATATGAATCTTGATTAACATTTGCCATTTAAAATACAAAAAGACAAAACAAATTATGATAATAACAGTCATTACTCGTTACACATAAGATTCAATAAAATAACAGAAGGTTCTATTGAGCAACAACATTAGTTGATCTTACTATGCATACCTGATAGAAATCATTGAGCAACTTTGCATATGTCTTCATATTCAATTGCCTGGATAATCCTTCCATCATATACACCCTTCTCAATCTGCACCTTTGCACAAAACATCTCAGTGTTAACAGACAACAATCTTGCATTTGAACCTCGATAAGCACCATTAACAATCCTCACAATCCCACCAATTTGAGGAATAACTGTCTCAAGCTCTTCTTGATCCACCCTCAACTTATGTTTACTCTCAAGCATCTCAATTTCACCAACATACTTATCAATCACCTTACGGATCACACCCTTTTGCTTATAATAACCTTTCTCAGCCAAATCTTTACTCGTCACTTTTACAATAATACCCTCACACAACCAATAATCTTTCCTGTTACTCCTCTCTTTCGCCTTCTCTTCTTCTCTTATCAACTCATCCAACGCCGACCCGCCACCTGTCTTTTGTTTCTTGTCTTTCTCAACTTTCTCCACATTTTCCACCTCATCAAAAACAAATTTCGAGCTTCCCTCCCCTTTAACATTTTTCATTGAAGAACCGATACTCAGCTTAATCTTCTTCTCACCACCATTATCAGACCTCAACAACAACTTCACATCTTCATTTTCTAAGACTTTGTCACTCCCCATCAATTGTTCGGCTCGCTCAATTTGCCTTTTGATCTCCCTCTCTTGCTTCTCTTCATCCACAATGTCGGCTTTCATTCTCTTGTTTTTCAACTTTTCTTTCAAAAGTGTCTCGGAGTCTCTATCTATGTATGTGATAAACCACCCTTTTGGTGTCTCTTCGACCTTACACTTTCCTGTTTTTCCCAAATGCTTTACAAACTCGGTCAAAGTAGCCCATTGAGTTGAATTCATGTGAACATGATGTCTGTCTGCAATGTACTCGTTGTAGACCACAGTGGCTGCAATTCGACTAAACCTATGGCTACGTTTCATATGCTCAAGGAACATGGATTCAAATTCATTGGTGTAACCACCAACTATCCGATTAGGGTTTTGACCAAAAACTTCCATTTGACGTTGGTGGCCTTCGCTCATGCAATGGCACTTGAACCCGTTCTCATCTCGACATTGTTTTTGACACATCTGACAATACCATCGAAGCTTTTGGAGCCCTTTTGCTTTGATTCGGTTGGCAATTGCTTTTGGTGTCAGAAAATCGTTTTTACCCATTGAGGATTTCAAATTTTAAGAATCACAGTGATGAGTAGGAACCTATTTGTGTAAACTAAAGGATTGAACCTGGATAGAGCAAAACAATAATTTAATTAAAAATATGACTGAAAGTGAAAGATGATGGTGTGAATCTGTAAAAAAAGTATTTAACTCCAAAAGTGTTTTTGGGCAAACGTGCTTATTGACTTGTGGTGGTAGGAAAATGAGATTTTTAAAAAATGTTTAGATTAGCTTTTGTGATTGCAAAAGTCAATAAGTCAATAAAGTGTTTTTTTTTTAAATGTTTGGCTTAGCTTATACATGTAAAATGACCAAAAAAGGGAATGCCTAGATTAACACCAAACCAGATATCAAACAGATTTGCAAATTCATTTATGATATTTGGATCATCTACTTCACAATTCACATAGAAACAAGCATCAGTTATCTCAAACTCAAGATTTTAACACCAAACTAGATTAACATCAAATCAGATATCAAACATATGTAATTGAAAAAAAAAAAAGTTGTAATTCTACTTCACAGTTCACACAAAAACACATAAACAAGTATCAGTCATCTCAAACTCTAGATTTTAACGCCAAATTAGATATCAAACAGATGTGAATGAAAAAAAAGTTGCAAACTAATTGAAAATAAAGTTGAAAACTATGATGAGGCTGTCAGTGGGAAATCGATTCCAAAAAAAGAAAAATCAGGAATTACACAAAATTTGATATCAATCAGATTTGGAATCAGGAATTCCTGATACGGCTGTCAGTGTAAACTTAGCTTGAACAAAGGAGGTGTATCGATTCACAAAAAAAAAAAATTGGGATTAAAATCAAACCAGAAATCAGGAATTCGATTAAACCAGGAGTGAGACAGAAATTAACCTTTAGATTCAAAATCTAACAAGAAATTCATGTTCACCGTCGATTCCAGAAAATAAAAAAAACATGTGCTTACCAAACCAGAAAAAGAAAGCGGGACTTACCAGGTGACCGGAGAAGGGCGTCAATTGGGGGGATAAAGAATTTGGGAAGGGTTCAAAGATCGCTGCCGAGTGCCGAGGAAGAAACGCAAAAGATCCCTCGTATTCCTTCGCTATTCGGTATTTCTCCTTGATTGGGCTTGGCTTGGATAATGGCCCAATGGGGAATTGGGGATATAATATCAAGTTATTAATCTATTTACCGTTCTAAATTTTTAAATACAATTTATAAATTATATGTAATTATTTTAAAAATTGGTTAATACCGGGGAGTTTTCCTATAAAATCATAGTTATAATATTATTATAACTATTTTTTTTAAACGGCAAACGAACTAAGTGGAAACATACTCGTAATATTTCAGTGAATATCCCGTGTTCGAGTTCCTTTACCGGGCAAACCCAAACCACATAGGGATTTCCAGGAAAAAATTCTCCACATGCGTCACCACAAGAGGTAGTTTAAAAGAATCGAACTCCCAACCCCGCACCCACATGGGTATAAATCCGGTGCACCAACTCGGCTAGGCACAACACTAAAACTATAAAACAAAATATTTATTTAACATACAATACATATATTAGTTTTAAGGTAAATTATACGAATCGTTCATCGTGCAAATGTCAAAAGGCACGTTTGGTTTTTATTTTCAAAAATTAATTTGTATTGTCCCTCGTTTGTTTTATACTGGCATACTTCATCCTTGAAAGACTAATTTGTTGTAGATTTAGTCTGTTCCATATTTAAAATGCCTATAATGCCCTTGTGTATTCATTTTTCAGTTAATCTCTGATACTAATATTTATTATTATTTTTAGGTTAAAAAGACACTAGGTTTGAACCAATTTTTGGTGGGTTTTATCGGATTTGGGGCGGTTTTGGATCCGATATCAAATCCAATTTTACCGATAGGATTAGGATTCGTTTATAATCTAGTGGGTTGGATCCAATCCGATCCGGTTTGGTCAAATCCAGTTTTGACCAAAACTGGTCTTCGGATCAGATCGGTTTCAAATCAGTGATCCAGTTTTTGTATACATCTCTAGAGACTATGAAGTAACACATTAAGAGCTATAAAAGGGTTTGAAAATAAATGATATAATATTTACCAACTAGAATACATAATTGATTAAAGAGTTAGTATTTATTGCTTATTATATGTTCCTTTTCTCTCTTTATTCTTCTTTTTATCTTTTTTTATGGCTCTTTTCTTTCTTCTTATGTCTTTATGTGATCACCGCACCTTTAAGTAGGGATGAGGGGCCGGCCAAACCCAGACCGGCCTAGCCCGAAGACCAAAAACCCAAAGACCGAAAAACATGAATTTTTTTACCTGAAAACTGGACCGTTTTTTGGTGTATCGGGTTCGTGTTCGGTCCGGTCCGATCCCGGATACTAAACCGGGTTTCGGGTTTTGGACCGAATCAGATCACGTGCAAATGAGGTGTCTATAAAAAAACACAAACATAATTAACATTTAAAACAAATAAAAAACTGCACTATTTAGCATAAAAACTGCACTTTTATAAAAAAAATAATGTTTTAACAAAAAAACAACACTATTAATAAAAGCTCCACTTTAATAGCTTTTATATGTAAAAAACAACAAACAAAGCATCATTAATAAAAAAACTGCATGTTTTATAAAAAAAATAGCATGCTAGATACATTCTTTCTTGTAAAATGATAGGGACAAACGTTGATCAAGATTTATAAATAATGTTACAATAAAAACATTAAGTTTTACACATAATGTTACGGATAACAGTAACTAATAATTCAATATCCTTATCTATATATTTTAAGGTGAAAATGTTTTCCGGTCAGGTTCGGGTTAAATCCCATATTCAAGGTTCGTCCGGTCCAAACCCGAAACCCAATTAGTGGTAAAAACAAAACCCAAAACCCTGCCCACTAATAAGAATATCCGGTCCGGTCCGGGTCAAGGTCAACTTACTAAATCTAAACTATGCAAATTTTGTACACAGAAAAAGTAAAGGGGTCAACAATTTAGATGAAAGAAAGCATGCTTGTTTGGAAGTATCAATATGCGAATTCGGATCTAAGGAGCTTTTGGATAATTTGGAAATGTTCTTGCTAATGAACCCGTTATTGTCAAGAATGTTCACAATATTGTTGAAGTTAAACCAGAAGTTAGTACTCTTTTTCCCTTTTATATATATATATATATATATATATATATATATATATATATATATATATATATATATATATATATAGAGAGAGAGAGAGAGAGAGAGATAGGTTCAAGTGTTTAAACTAAATATTGTATTATTATATGCATGATTGTGGACCAATCAAAATTTAATAGAAAAAACAATAATTAAATAAACTAGTTACGTTGATTTTAACCTAATCCCCGTTTCTGATCTGATCAATCGTTGTAGGATCAATTTTCATCACCGGTTCTGTGATAGTTGGGAAATCGTGAGGAGGTGCGGAGGGAAGAAGCATCGGGACAGCACCGATCCAGGGGGCGTTCGATTGTTGTGTTTGACAAGAAGAAGAAAATACGAGAAAGAGAGGGGCAGACGCCCTTCTCCGGTGACTTCTTCCTACGAGAGCTCACAGGTGGCCAAAAAAAACCAACGGCCTCTTCACCACCGACCCTCCATCTTGTAGCATGAATTGAACGCAACCCACCCTTCTTCTTTGTGTTCCGATTGCAGGTGGGTGTAGCCAAAACAAACCGATGATCTACAATTTGATAGTTTAGATTCAAGATTATTTTCAAATATGTGATAACATTAATCTGATTTTTTGAAGCTATACGATCTGAATTCAATGAAACCGGTTCTCGTAGAGCGATTTGCATGTTCGGTCGATTCCAACAAGTTTGATCCCTCGTTTCCTTTCTTTAAATTAAATGAATGGTAAAAAGTAGTATCAAAGTTCATTAGGGTTTATTTGATTCCAAAAAGAAAAATCATTATTTGATACATAATTTGGATTAATTAGATCTCCTCTGTTTGGTAATTAGTCATTTTCCTTTTGCATAATATTAAAGCGATAGTTGAGAACTAAATATCAGACAAGGCGATAATTGAAAAGACAATGTGGAGATCAATTTGTCCCATGGAGTATGAAAGTAATTGTTTAAAGGTGATTATTTTGACCACTGTAATTGTTTACATTTTACTTAATGCTTTTTAATTATTGAAAGCTTTTTATCATATTCTATTATGTTATGATAATGTTGTGCAAGACTATCTATTGTGTGGGTTCCTAGAAAGACATATTGAAATAGATGGATTTGATGTTTTATTTTAATATGTTCAATTTGAAAATGTTTGCAGACTTTGAAAAAACGAGGCTTATGAGGTAATTCCAATTTGTTTGGCTGCATTTTATGAATTGATTCATATTTCAATTTATGTTTTTTTTTCCTGATTTAACACTTCATTTATGTGGACAGTGCATGATCTTGACAACGTTGAATTCTGAAAATGTATCAAGTATGTTTATGTAGATGATTCAATGGATGATATTGGTGAGATTCCAATTCGATTGGAATGGAATCACGAATTCCAATTCTGTTGGAATGAAATCACGAATTCCAATTCTGTTGGAATCACAGAAGTTAATGCTTGAAGAACGGACTACAAAATTGAAACGGACCACATTATTCTTTTAGAATGTAGACAAAACTGCAAAAATGGTCCCTGTGGTATGCATTTTTTTGGGTTTTTAGTCCAAACCACGACTTTTTTGGATTGGAGGTCCTTTTGAGCTAGTTTCTTTGTGTTTTTGGTCCCTCAGTAAACTGAAAAGACTATTATGCCCTTATGACATATTTTTTATGCTTTTTCTATTTAATTTAAATGAAAAATAAAATAATTAACTAATTTGGGGCCTACATCTCTCTCTCTCTCTCTCTCTCTCAAAAACCCATTGATAGGTTGTCGACAAGGTGTTGGAGTAGATCGTTCTCTTTCTTAATCAGAACAGAGGAGTCGATGGTTCTCTCTTTCGATCCATAGCTAGTAAACAAACAAGATCAGACGAGTGTTCATAAAAAAAAAGATTTACAGGCCTGTCAAGATTAATGATCCGTTAATGGAGTTTCCCAATATCAGAGGATCAATTTTTTCTTTGTTTGTGTCCTTCCCACTGCTTCTCCTTATTCGTCTGCAACTCCTCCGACAGAGTTTCCCAATACCAAAAACAGTGTCGTTCAAGACCAAAAACCATAACCCTCTTCACTTTCTGATTATGAACCAGAGCATGTACAATAGCTTGCATCGATACTTCCTCCCTCTTGACCGCTGACTACATCTCTTCCCTCCTCCAACTTCACCATCAACATCCATCTCTTCCTCCTCCCTCTCCACCAACCACCTATGTCATCTGAATTGCCCCTTCGTGACCTAATTATCGTAATCTGAGTTGCCCCTTCATGACCTAATTATCGTCATCTGAATTTCCCCCCTTGTGCACCAAAAATGTTCAATTTTTTTGCATCATTGATGGAACCCAACCCTCAAAAAGTTTTTTTTAGCATTTGAGTTCACATTCGATTTGGCTAATGTTCCATTTTTGCATCTAGTTTTCATCTATGTTGGTAGTCGTTGGTCATGGTGGTAGTGGGGGGATTTGAGAGAAAGCATATGATTTATTGATCCGATTTCATTTGGAAGGTTAAGTTGACGATGGGACCAATGTTTCCGATGGTCGAACCATCATCTTCATATGCCTCTTCTTTGAAAGTACAACTATACAGGGAAGCATGGTGCAAGGAGACACCATTTTAAATGTGAAAATGGATTTGTCTATTATCCTTCATCGTTTCAGGTTACTTTTGCATTTTTGGACTCTGGGATTTTTTTTATCTTTCTCGGTTGCACTTGAGCTCCCTTGATTCAGCAAAGGAAAATTGCAATGTCAAATCTCTTTTTCTCATTTTGGGTGATTTATTGTGTGTGTGTTTGTTGAAAATGGTATGTATGTGTTTGATTTACGGTGGTAATTAGAGTTGCGATTGTGATTTTGATTAGATTAAAGAGATAGGCGTGTTGAATGCCCTGTAACTTTTTGGTTGAAGAAATGAACATGTTGAATGTTCTTTAATTTTTGGGCTGAAGCTATGAACATGATGATTTTGACATAGTTAAAGAGGTCAACGCTCTTTGATTTCTCATTTTGGAGAGGGAGAGAGAGAGAGAGAGAGAGAGAGAGAGAGAGAGGGAGGGAGGATGGGTATGTGGGCCCCCACTTTTATTTTTTATATATAAATACTTATAGGAAAAGAATAAAAATGGAAAATAAATATAGTAAGGGTAATTTAGTCTTTTCAGTTTAGCGAAGGACCAAAGTCGCAAGCAAACTACCTCAAAAGGACCACCAATCCAAAAAAGTCGTGGTTTGGACTAAAACCCCAAAAAAATGCATACCACAGGGACCATTTTTGCAATTTTGTCTAGAATGTATTAGTCGTTGTTAGATTTTGATGTTTTCTTTCCCGTTTTGAAAGTTTTTTAGTGTTATTCTTTAACAATAAATGTAATTCTTAACAATTGTTACCCGTATTCTATAAGAAATAATGTATTTTTTGTTTTTATTCTTCAATATATTGTTCAAGAATTTGTTATTCTACAAGAAGTTTTTAAATCCATGATCAAGAAATAGGTTCAAGAATATTTTTATTATTTATGGTTCAAGAATATTTTTATTTTTGAATATACTCATAAACATATTCTCTCAGAATGTCCGAATTAAAAGAATTATAATTCGTAAAATCGGATTTTTAAAATTAATAGAATCTATGATCCCTTAAAAATGCATTTTTCCTTTATTAAATCTATTTTAATTGACTAAATTACCCTTGTAATTAATTAAGAAGATATTTTTCAATTATATTTAATTCAATAATATATATTAATCACTTTCTTAAAATAAGTAAATTTGATTGGTCCACAATCATGTATACAATAACACAATAATTACTTTTAATAGAATAACCTAAGCCTATATATATATATATATATATATATATATATATAATATATATATATATATATATATATATATTAAAAAATATCAGCAAGCTACTTATACCAATAATAGAAATGCACTTTAATCGTGATTCCAATATTTTCAATGTCCTTTATTTTATATTGAGAATACCAACATACTTCTATTTATATACTTTTAACTACAATAGCAAGTCACTTAAATTTATATATGAAAATTAGCAAGTACGTAGTATTTTTTAAAGATTTTGGATCATTAGGAAAGTGTTCTTAAAGATTTTGGATCATTAGGAAAGTGTTCTTGCTAATGAACTCGTTGTGGTCAAGAGTGCTCAAACTTCAAAATATTGTTACAAGTTAAAGCACAAGTTAGTACATTTTTTTCCGTTATATATTTTTAAAACATAATGCCAACTTACTTACATTTGTTTACCAATAATACTAATATAGTTTAATCACAGCTCCAATAATGTAGTTTATTTTATACCCAAAATAGCAACATACTTATATTTATATACTTTTAACTATAAAAGCAAGTTACTTAAAATTATTTACCAAAATTAGCAATGAACTTCTAATTTTTAACCATAATAATAATTGCAACTTAGTTACTTTCTTAACCATGTGTATTGGTGCAGCCCTCTTGTAAGATTGCTCCCTTTTCTCTTTAGATTTGTGTCAATATAATTAAGATAAAATTTGTAAATAACTATTGTAATGCTGTTTTGTTTAGGTTAGTGGATATGATTTGTTACATTGCGTTGTAAAATTTAAATGTTTGACCTGCCACATAGATTAAAAAGCATGATTAATAAACAAATACCTAATCTACTTAACATGGCAAGTTGAGAAAACTTTTTGACCAAAATTAATATTATGAATATGTTAGAATGATTACTAATAGGCAGATTAGTAAGTTTTGATTGGTTCTTTTTTTTTCTTGTTGTATTTCTTGAGAAGGCTTGTTATTTTATTTTTATTTTTTAAAATTTTTGAAGATGCCGTTTATTTTATAACCTTGAAGTGTATTTCATCCTATCAGGTAACTTACTTTTATAAATTAACTTCAAAATGTTCAAGCTAGTTTCTGAATTATGAATTTGGGTTATGTTAAACATTTAACAGGCATAACAGGGAAGATGAGAGATTATCAACTTGCTGAGTTAAATTGGATGATAAGACTATATAATGGAATTCTTGCAGATGAAATGTTATGCAAAATGATTTTTATTCTTATAATCAGTTCCAAATTTACACAACTCAGTTGATAATGAATTTTTTTAGGGGCTTATAAAAACTCTACAAACCATCTCATTACTTGGTTAGTTGCATGAATTTAGAGGAAGAATGCATGGTTGTCCTTATAACATGTTAGCATCGATTGTTCTTGTTAAGCTATGAAAACTAAGGTGTTGTTTGTTTTTTGTCTGCAGATATTCTGGCATCTTCTGTCTCCGTCGCGCAGCCCACGCGCAGACGTTTCACAGACTTTTTTTTTATGAAGATTGAAATATCTAGTATGCCCAAGAGTGATTATAGAGTGATATTGCTAATAATATATGATCATATACGGTCACATCTTATAGCAAGTTACCGCCAATTGATTATTTATTAGTATAATTTGATTATTAAAAAATATCTATATCAACACTTGTATTTAATTGGAAAATTATTATTTTATGGAGATAATATTTTACTAACTGGAATTTTATTATTTGTGGAAATAATATTTATTGGAGAAATAACAACTTATGAATATATCATAAAGTATGATTATTTATTAGTTATATTTATATCTTAATAAACTGGTTAAAGTTTATTTATATAAAAGATAGTTTTATATAAA